GTTTATTCGGTGTTATTTGCTTACTTTAACATGAACGTACTAGAGAGTGTGTTCATGGTTTGAACAGCACGTTTGAGGTAGCTGTGTACATATTGACTCAGGGTAAACAGACATAACAGACACTGCCCTATTTCCAACCAAAATAGTTCGAAGAGAATAGGTATATGACAAAAGCCGTCGAGGCTCACATAATGTTCGTACTCCAAATTCTGAAAGCAGACAACAACGTCCTCTTCTAGTGTGGATTGCACAACGACACTCCCCGGCCTGTCTGGACCGGGGGGTCAATACTAACAACTCCAACAGCCTGGAGTAACAGAAATATTGTCACAATACGTATATGTCTGAATACAGCTAATACCCAAAATACCGGCGTGCATTGCGGTCCCCATCAATTAAAGGTTCGGTAGTGTTTACATTGTAACCGGGTGAATGTCATGTTAGCATTGTTTGTAGCCTGGGTAAAATCATAACAATAATATTACAAGAGAATCAATATTTATAGAGTATCTATTGTTTGTATAATTTACGCGACCCCCTAGGTTAGTTTATTTAATTCTTACATGTTGGTACGAATCGGAACTTATGATTAGCAACCCATCTTCTGTGGAGTTCTCGTAAACTTAATACTGTCATATTTAAAAAAAAAAATGAATTTATTGATATTCATATTGGTCCGTCAACCACCGACCCCCCTTAAACCAAATTTCATAGGCTTATAAATATTGTTGACTTTCTGTCTAGATGGAACCCCAAAGCAAAAAATCATGACACATTTTGCTCTCATAGTTATTCAGGCCTGGCGTTCTGTAAAAGATTATCAGCAAAAAAAAAAAAAAAAAAGAAAAAAAAAAGGTTTTTGCGAAGTTTTCCCTTTTCTATCGAGTACAAACTACTATCGTATCTCCCTTGGGAGTCATATCCCCATGGTCACCTGCTTGTAACTGTTGCTAAGGTTACCAGGCTGTGGTGATTATTTACATACACACATTAATGCTATTACGGGAGGGTGGGCATCTACGTGAATATTATCTTCCGTGCCAACCACCTGTTTGTGACTACGCTGTCGAATTGGAAATTTCATGACGTAACACGATTAACGCGATTATTGAAGATTTCAGTGGCTCTTCACATATATGTACGACCGCCGGAGTACTTTGCATATTAGTCGTGAATTTGAAATTCAGAGACTAAGTGGAGATTGTGCCTAATGTGGGCGGTCGTTAATTTCGATAAATACTAATAATAAACAACTTCATTCCCATACTAGTAAAAGTGTCAATAAGATTCCTGTAGCGATTTCACCATTCAGTCTAGGACGCCACTACAATATACCACTTTTCGTTCACTAGGCTGTGAGTTCCCGCGTTATGCGTGAAATTGAACGTAAAAACAGGACAAAAAAAGATCGTAGATTCGACCCGGGATTCTCCTGCCAAGTGAAAGACCGGCCTTTCGATGTGAGCTACGAAATAAAGAAATTCAAGTTCAAAATCAAATCGTTCGATTTTTGCGGCAGAAGTTCGGCGCGCATCTTTCGCGCAACTCGCGAGATCTCGCAGTTGAACGGAAAATCACGGAAGCACACTCGTTACTGGTCGCTCCAGTAACACGTTCATGTCTGTTTTGAGAACGTATCGCATTAACTCTAATGTATTGTATCTATTTGTCATTTTTGTTTCTCCTTTTTTTGTATCTTGGCCACAAAAAGTTACGTCGGCGTTAGATGCACTCAGTATTGAAACAGATAAGAATCTCACATTCTTGCGTTTTCACACCAGCGAGAGTAAATATGCATATGCATAATTAAATTCGCATAATGGCACCTACTCGTTGGCAATATTTTGGTTGACCAAATATTTTTTGCCCTTTGTGTACTTTTCCAGCAAGCAATAATAGCTGACCAGACTGGGCCATGTAAAATGGCATACTCACTGCAGTACTTACTTTTAAAATAAGATAAAATAAACACAGATGACCGTGCACTCAAAATCAGTTTAGGACGCCATTATACCCGTTGCGAAAGGTCGCCGGCGCGTAACATGCTCACATCTGTTTTCAAACCGCCAAAGTATTACGCAATAATCACGCCGTTCTGTTACTTCCATTCCGTAACATGCTCACATCTTTTTTCAAACCACCAAAGTATTACGTAATAATCACGCCGTTTTGTTATCTCCATTTTGAGAGTATTTATACTTATTTACCTAAATCGGATTTTAATCAGATTGAGACACCACGTCACTACAGCACGTGTCTTATGGTGTGGCATATACAAATGTGTCTACGCGTACATCGCAGGCTAGACTAGCCCAGCTGTGGTGATGGAAAAAATGGAAAAAATATAGTTTTGCGAAAGGTGGGTGAACGCGATTTAGCGGTTACGAGGGATTTCGCGTTAACACCTTCATTTCGCTTTTTTTTTATTTAATTTTAAATTTGAAAAAGAAATAAATCGCCCCCAGACTGTGCCAGTATAATCGCAGGCCTAACTTGTAAGATGATAGAGCAAACACGTGACCACTGGTGTATACAGGCGCAAAGATACTGTGATCCAGGTCATACAACTGATGCGCTCCTCCGTCCCATTCTTAGTAAATTGGAGGGGGCGGGGTAATCTCATGAAAAATAAAACCTTTTCTGTAGCTTTTTCGAATCAACACAACGTGTGAAGTATATGCAGTTCACTTGACATTCACGACAAAACACGTTCAGTCTTGTTTTAGTTGTTGTTATGTTTTGAATAGCCAATCAACACATTTATATCTTCAGTTTATACAATTAAATGTAGTTACATTGTCTTGATTTTTAAATCAGCACTATCGCGTATCGGCTGGTAGAATACGCATAACTCATATTAAATGTGGACAACGGTAACGGACACGGCAAAGCTTTCGGCAGGGTTTTTCCATCTCGCATACAAGTATACAGAGAGATGCTTACTTCCGGGCGACCGCTGATATTTTTAGTGCGTCAAAACATAACGTGCGTATGTGAGATGAATTTCAGGTCCATTCATGCTATGATTTCTCCTCCATATCAACTAACCATTATGATAGGTCAAGGTGTGACGTGCTTTGATTGAGCCCTGGTCAGACCCAAATCACCTCTTTCACGACCAAGGCCACTATACACCTACAATAGTCTCACCCCATTCATCCGAATATTAAGCAGCAGGACACTTTCGGTTACAACAGTAAATCGTTTTTTGTTTTTTTGGCAAGACAGATTTAAAAAATAAAATCATCTTGTTGGGCGATTTTTCATTAACAGGAAGTTCGCAAGAAATACAAATCGTTTCTCTGATTAATTCATTGCTCATCCCAGCCTAGCCTAGCCACCCCAACCCAAACTTTCATAAAACACGTGACCATCCCTTTCCAAATTAATTCTGTGAATGTAGATTTTTTAGGCATTTTGTTGAAATAAAATATTAAACTTCAATGCAAATCATTTAAATTTGAGTATTATTACTACCAGAGTCAAGGGAAATAGTCACGTGATCTTTCAAAGGTAGACATGGACTACAATTCGGATCAATATTGGATATTCAATACAAAATTTGGGATCGATCGGTCGATGCGAAGTAAATAGAAGAAAAAAAAATATGTCGCCGAGCTGTCGATGTCATGCATTTGAATAATTAGATCATGGCTTGAAAAGAACAAAACAAGATCTGCCCAAGATCAGTAATTAATTCAGGTCAATTTGTAGCCAGTATGTTACCCACTATATAATACCGCTGCCACGAGTCACGGCAAATAAGGATGAAAAAGAAAACAGTAGTCAAATTACGATTAACCGAGTTAGTCGGACAGGTTCTTGGGTATACTATTAGCAACGCAAGATCTATTCACGTCTATTTGCGCATTCAAACAGGCAACGGCTATTCTAGTATTCAGAACGTGTCGACTTTTAGAAATGAAAGCCTCACAGAGAAAGGATACAGCGCCGACCTCGCGACAGTGATACCGGAGATTGTGGAAGGGTATTTATCCCGGATTCGTGTTCTTCTGCTCCTCGACGAGAAGGCATCCACGGTCTCGCCGACAAACTCACCGAGGCAGAGAAGAAAGCGGTGGAGATTTATGTGTCAATACATCAAAACAATGCAGTAAGTATACTCTATGTGCCGGATGTTATCGAAGCATCGACGTTCGGTGAACAGTTGATAGCGGCATGTGATTGAGTACATGGAGGCCGAGTATGACTACTGCGTGACCTCAATGTACGCGACGTATATCACACGAACATTTAAAGACCCAATTCCCAATTAGGTTGTTTTTAATCGGGAATTATCGCGACCTCGACGTTCATTTTTGTGTCTGACATGTTTCAATTGTTGATTGAGTACGTGTTTACCTCGATTATTGAGGCTGTTTTTTTAAAAAATGTGATGGTCGTGCGATCACATACGTCTCGGCCCAGCTGATATGCTGAATGACCTGCCGTTTTCTGGCTTAGCTGCCACCCGAAATTCGGATTTGAACCATTAAATGACAGAGACAAACATGAATGCTACAGTTACGACAATGGTGACCTTGAAAACACCATTTCATTCAAGTCGAGTCCTAACCCTATCCCATCCCCTCATTATTATTATTATGATAATTACTTGTCTGTGACGTCATTTCAGTGTATCGTTAAATTCATATTCGAGTGCATCGTTTTATTGCTGATTTAAACGGCAATTCGATTTTATTTTGACACGCACTGGTCTTGTAGACGAACACGGTTAACCCGTCGAGCTTTCAATCACAAACAAATCTACATAACAAAGAAAACCATATGCATACTTCCATGTAATACAGAGGGACTATTTTGTTACCGAACCCTATCATTGAAAATACCAATTATAATTATTTTTTTTTATTTTAATTGCAAAAATCTAAACAACAAAATATGAAAATCGATTGAAATTATGATATTTATTTTATTCCGTCGAAATCGTGTGCTGGCAAAATGCATTAATTGTTCCGTGCATGGATGGTTGGACATGTAGAAATGTAAAACGTCATTCTTTTTTTTATTTATTTCACATTTATATAATGGGAATACTGGCACGTGTCATTAAACTGCAACGATGTAGGTCAAAGGTCAACTGTTTCATATCAGGGCAATAAGAGTGAGATTTGTTCATCTCTGATATACAATTTTTTTTCTGTTTTTAGTTTTTTTTTAGTTTTTCTATTATTATAATTTTACTCTTTATTGCAATTTTATCTATATCTCAACAGAGATTCGATAACAATAAAGTTCTTATTATTACAATAGTCACGGGCAATATTACACTCAAAATGCCCGGTGTCATTCCACAAATTCGCTCCTTCGACTGAGCATGCGCAATGTCAGCTTCAATTTAACATGCAAAGGTCCTTGCGAGACAGCGTGACTACCCGGCTACGAATAACATGTATTTTTAGGCACGACATGCTTCAGTACTTTGTCGTGACAGTATGTGATGGTAGACGCCATTTTTTTCTTCTAACAGAGAAATATGGGGGCAAGTTTATATGCATTCGAACATATACCTAGGGTCTATGATTCAAAACACAAAACTTGGGTTTGACCATTGCATATAGAGTATGATTAGGTCGGAATTAGAGAGGGGGGAATACAGAGACCGAAAAGTCGGAAAAAATAATGTGCATGAGAAAGTAGTCGGCGTCATCGCATAATTCTCACCCATGTTGCAAAAGCAATGACGGGTCAACCCCAAGAGTTTATAGTCAGCGACTTTGTCGTCCCTGAGTATTAGAGTGAACGGATCTCTTTCGAATGTATTCCAATGTAATTCGATTATCACTAAGGTATCATCAGTCTGTTAGTAGGCATTATAATAATTATTTACTATATTCATGAAAAATAAACTTCAGCTCGATGCTATGCGTCTGGCAACATAGAAGTGGTAAAGGGTTTTAACGTGTACTGTAATTTAACAAATGGGATCAGACGTTTATTGATTCATGGTGCCGAAAATATTCAGTCTTCCCATTGTAAAATTTGCAATATTTCGCAACCAATTAAAATATATTATTTGACCGATTCACGCCGCCTTTCTAACTGGTTTGTATATATTCCAGTTACTTGTGTCGTTGGTTTACACATATATCAATGGTTTGAATATACTAGTATCACATTGTTTTTTTTTTTTACGTCACACATTTCACTGGTTTACGTCACACATCTCACTGGATTACGTCACACATATCACTGGTTTATATCACACATCTCACTGATTTACATCACATATCTTGTTTACTTCACACATCTCGCTGGTTCACGTCATATATCTCTCCGGGTTACGTCACATACCCAGTCTTTTACGTCATATATCTCACGGGGTTACGTCACATATCTTTCTGGTTTACGCCATAAAATTCACTGGTTTACGTCACACATCCCATTGGTTTACATCACATATACTGGTTCACGTCACAACACGCATCTCACTGGTTTACGTCACGTACCAACTGGTTAACGTTCCGTGACGAAGACAGAGTTTGACGAAGTAGACCCTACTCGGAGTGTACTATAATAACATTTACCTTTGAATAGAGAACTTTTATATATCTGTTCATTAATGTCGTACGTGGGTGTGTATTGTCACGGGAAACTATTTTCTCTACAAAATGTTAATACAGCAGTTCAAAACTGGAAGCTAATTATCGTGTACGGGGAATCCCGTGTTCATTCAGGGCTTTCACAACGTAACTCTTCTAGCCCTGTTTGTACGCATGGCTTTCAAGATAGTCACCAATGTAAAATGTTGTCACTTCACACTAAAAAATGCCTTTAAAATGTGTACTCGTATTCTCCGAGAATCACAAGTACTGCTGAAACATGTGCTTTTTGTTGCTATTGTACGTGAACAAAAGTAACATAACAACGCAACCACCTTGTGACAACATTAGCCCTTCGACGCCCATGAAGAGACCACTAAATTTTTATTATGTCTCAATCAAAATGTCTTGAATTAAAAAAAGGGCCTTCTCTCTTTGGGCAACATATTAACCTCTTTACGAGCGGTGGAGAATATTTGGACCAACAATAAGTTTCACCTCATGTCTGCAAAAGTTAATTCACAGTGCATTTATTGCCCCTTCGCTTTTAATTCATATTTAGGCCAGTGTATTTTTATTAAGTTTTTAACTTCGGCTGAATGTTCTGTTCTTTCGTGGGAAAGTATGGCCTATCGTTGTTTGTGCCTATCTGTTGTTCTAACAATGTCTCCATGGTTGACTGCCACCCTTAAAAAAATGGGCGAAACGTGAAAACAATAATAGATACGACATAAATAACACTCACTATTTGTCTTTATCCGGTTTTATTCAGTGTTTTGAATACAATAGGTATTGACTACCTGTGGACCGTTGTTAGGCGTCTATCGTAATAATTGCGTTCACGTTATGCTAGTTTATTTTTATTAATTAAACAATCGATTTTTTGTCCTATTTCTGTTTATGAACCAACAAAATGTGACATTTCACAACTGCATTCGTTATTTTAGATGAACACAACGCATTGTGGGTAGAATACAATTGCACCTGAACTTTATGAAGGGACTTTAGTCTTACGACCCTGAAAGGTCACACTTTCGGTCAATTTCTGGGCTTCTAATAATATTATTTCACTTCTAATAATATAATTCTGCTTGGTCGATTTCGTTCCACTTCTTTGCTTTATTTTTCTTAGTTACCTGACGTCTGATTTCACGCACGTGGTCATTGTATATGAAGAGCAGGAGTTTCCTTTTACTCCCAAAAGTTATGCGAATATATGTTTTGCATACAAATAGCGAAAAATCTCGAATATGAAGCCTAAGCAGGCAGCATTTTTGCAGTGATTCACGTCACGCCACGGCGAATCCAGGGTCGGAATCCTGGCCTTGTGGAAGAATATACCGGTACTTACCTGCCCTCTATTCGCCATTCGCAAGGGATGTCGGGAAACAGCGAAAGATAATTATTATTTATCCCTGTATGAGTATCTCTTTCATGTCTTAGACTATGCAATGTTTACATTCGCTTGTCGTTGCCATGGGTGATTAGAGGGATTAGCCAGCCATTCACAATGCCCACTTTTCGTCAAGCCCCAATGTCATTAAAAATGTAGAAAATAAAAAATAATGATAAAGAAAACACGGCTGTTGAACATGTACATTCAAGACCACTACTAGGTTAAGGTCAAGGTATAACACATATTTTGAAAGCCCTTCGCTTTTTGTAATTATATCAAATTTTCAACTTTTATCACAGGGGGGCGGTGCTCCCAAAATATGACGTCATCGGTGAACACGCCATTGTTTCTCTGAGTATATTTTGCCCACTTTTACAATAGTACGGCATATGATTGAACAAAACACCAACCTCACTGACCACACACTAACTCGTTAACCATGTGATGTCTGAATGAAATGCCAAAGCATATTCACAATGGTGAATACAGCCTTTACAATAGTGAATATAATAATAGTAAATCATCGCACCGTACAATGGCATTAGACTGGTGAAATGTTAAGTTGCCTGGCAAATAATTCGCAGCTTGTTTGCATTTTGGTATTAAATTATTGGTAACATTATTAATTAAACAAGCTTACTATAAAAGTCTTTATTTTAGCTAAAATTGGGTGCATTGTATATGATTTATTTTCACTGATTCTTGACGAATTGAATGTAAAAATATAGGAAAAAAGGCCCATTCGTTGGATTTTATTATTTTCACGGAAATAGCGAAAATTTGTTCCAACCAAGCGAATTAAATAAAGTATTTTACAGTAAGTTTTTGGACGATAAAACATCAGCTGTCCTTGAGTGGGTATAGTTCAGTCGCACCCATGTAGTTTAGGCTGTCTCGTAATGACACCGTGACTGTAGCAACGCAACTTTGTTAGTATACATAAACACCGCCGACAACATATAATAGTAGTCATTTCCCTCATCTAATATTGTATGCTTTGAAATATTATTTGACTAATTATATAAAATGCTAATTAGAACCGCCCATTCATTCAGTGTGAACAGTGTTCAAGTAACCACAGTCGACGCAGGGCTTCGTGATCGATAGGGTTTTAATGATTGTGGATAGATTATGTTTTCGCATGTTAATATTCAAACTGCCATGACACATATATGCCATATATACTCGGATTATCGGCTGGATCAACCCCGAGCTGTTTTTTGGTTGGACGGCATGGTATGTTTCGTGGTAGCCGTCGCATCTTGCGTGCTGTTCCCGTAATGTTCTTGTACAGTAGTGAACGCTACTTCCAGAGTCACGTGATTTGAATCTCGTTACGTCTTCGCAGTTCCATGTCAACGTACGGACGTTTCAAACAATTCCCAACAAGCATTGATACTTAAAACCCACGAACAAACCTGACGATAGTTCATGACCCAAATAATATAGTTGTGTGCGCCATTGTCGTGTCACGTGGTCGGCAGATTCCATGGTTGCCCATCATTACAAGCCACAGAGACTTTATACAACCAGGGTTCGTAGCGAATGCCAGACGAGACGACACTCTTCGGGACTAGTGACGTCACAGAATCAGATTCGTTCGAATTTTAACAGTGAATGAACGTCGACCTTCGAAAAAAATAGCACACATAATAAAGTATAAACTCAACCCTTAAAATCCGCTGACGCTACTCAATTTTGGGGGAAAGAGCAAAAATATGGCGTTTCACGATTCCGTTCCTCCGTACGTTGATGAGACATCAACAGTATAGAGGGCGTTCTACTTACGCAGAGCGCCCTCTAGAGGGGATATAATTGTGGGCGTGTCTAAAGCGCACATGTGTTTGAAAATGAGTAAAATGGCACCCTGGATAGCTTCCAGTTAGGTCGTGCACGGTAAAACAAAACTTAGCAGTGGAAACACTATTCAGCATCGGTAGTCTTTTGGTAAGTACAGACCTGGGCAGTGTTTTTGTTCACTGTGCTATATTTTTAAAGGTGAGCGTTTCTTTACTGCTAATCTTTGAACAAATCTGACTCACAAGTCCCGAAGAGTACCTCTTCTCGCACTAAGTGTTCGTTATTTGGGCCCAGCATATAGTAACAAGCCATTGTTACAAACTCCTGCAAATTATTGTTACTAAATCAAATAAAACATATATTACATATCTCTTCTTTGGCATCATGATCACATCATAGATACCGTATAATAAATCCCACGTTGGCTATATCGAGGCAGTAAACGAAAAAACAAAATTAAATTGATCCGTGATTGACCTTTCTATTCTCCATCTCACGCGGTGACGATAGAAATGCGCCATTATGTCTGCATACCCCAAGAGGCTATCTCTCCACATCACAGGCTCGAGTGACGTCATGAGCAGGTGTTACGGCTTATTTTTGTGTAGCTGAAATAAACCTAAACCACCTTTGTGTAGTCCCTGCATATTGCTAGGCAACCCGTGATCTTGACACCCCGGGTTATTTCAAATTCCAGTGACTCTCTAGTTCAGTATTTCGTGGTTCTTTAAACACGAAAATTCATTTGCGAATAATCATGATATTCCTATAACAATGATCAATTACTTTGTGCAATTTATTTTATTTTAACATGGTTAGTCTAGTAACTAGTACGAAAAGAATACAATGACGTTTTTTTAGGAGTGGTTGTCGTCGTGCCACCGGTATGCGCGAGATATGGCGTAAAACGTAGATGTCAACTTTGATTATTACGCAGATAAACACGTACAGAAAATAAACTGTGGCAGGGTTCAACGAGGTATTTTCTAGGTTGTGATTGGTACGCATCGAACGACTCTAACGAGTCGGTATTTAGTGCACATCGCCACCACTCCGAGTCCAAAACTCGCTTCCACTGGCAGAGCGCATTGGATTATGGGAAAATCAAATCTAGCACTTGCGTAGCGCATTGACCACTGTCTTGTGGTCTTAAATATGGTACATTGTATATTAAATAAATGCATTTTGTTTTTTTATTACAGATTTAGTTGTTCCTGGAAAAACGTAACCGTATTCACCATGTTGGGACGCCAATTACTCTCTTATAAGCGGTTCGTGGCTTTCGTTATGATCGTCGGTTGTATCTCCATGATGATAATGTGCATGAAACTACGTCACCACCACCTTCGTAAACACAAGAAATCGATCGTCAATAAGGCAGACTTGAACGATGTAATCGATAACTGGTCGGGCTGGCTTTGGAAGCACACCGAGCCAACAACCATAGCGCCGACAGACAGCGCAGTGCTCTCGGACCAGGCAGAACATTTCGATATAGAATATAACCCGCCACTGCGTAGGGGGCTTACGTGCAATGATTTGATGGACAGCGCCAGCATAGAGACGTTAACCGTTAGGATGAACGTCGCGGTGGTGAACAAGAACGTCACCATTTCAGATGCCATGTTTCATACCTTGACCACGACGGACGATTGTCGATACTTTGCTTATAGTCGCGGATACACTAGCAAACCCGTGACACAGGAAGAACTAGATTTTCCTTTGGCGTTTGGAATATTGATACACAAAGATGTTTATCAATTCGAACAGTTGCTGAGAACGATATACCGGCCGCAGAACTCGTATTGTATCCACGTGGACAAGCTGGCCCCCGATGATGTACACATCGCAGTGCAGTCCATCGTAAAGTGTTTCAAAAATGTGTACATTGCCTCGCAGTTGGTCCACGTGGCTTGGGGAACGTCTTCCCGCATCACCGCAGAAATGGCCTGTCAACTCGACGCTTTGAAACGAAATAAGAAATGGAAATACTTCATCAATCTTACCGGACAGGATTTCCCACTGAAAACAAACATCGAAATTGTGAGAATATTGAGAGAATTCAACGGACAAAACGACATCATGAATACAAGAGAAGTGCATCTTAATCGATTATTTTATGTTCATAAAGATATTGCGGATGTTGTTGTGAACACATACACGCTGAGGACGGACCCTCTTCCGAAAAACATCAACGTGCGGAGAGGCGATCTGCCATGCGCCCTCAGTCGTCAATTTGTGCAATATCTCCACCACAGTGATGCCGGAAAAGATTGGTTGAAATGGTTGGATAAGAGCAGTTTCCCCGAAGAAAGCTTTTACCACAGTTTAGCGTCGACCTCTTCGGTACCCGGAGGACCCGGTCCCCGCGACGTGTCACAGATCATATCGAGAGTGAACAGCTGGAGTATCGATAATCAGACATGCAATGGCGAGCGTGTGAACAGAGTATGTATTTATACGTGGGAGCAACTTCCGTGGCTCACACGCCAGCCACACTTATTTGCGAACAGGTTCGACGCCAGTCGCGACGGTCTTGTTTTAAGGTGCTTGGAGGAAGCGCTCAATCGCAGAACTTATTCTCCGGTGGCTTTTAATACTGGTGTATACAAAATATTCGCAGAGACGAGGTTGTTGAACTCGACAGAGCAGTCGTGGCAAATATTGGCGTGATCCTGTCACGTAAAGTATGAACCCAGGCGTCCACTGTTGAACAAAGTCGTAGTAGCACTACTTGAGATCTGTGTACCCCCCCCTAGGGTACTCGATATAACGAATGTTAACGGAGGCACGCCAATATAATTCCTAATACCGACTTGGCAATTTCTTACCTCAATAATCGGTCGATTTTTAGTCGCGTTATTTATGAATTTCCGTTGATTTTTCGTGCAGTTGGACAAACAAACATACACTCAATAATGTTGGTTGAGCATTAATTTCCCCTAATGGTTAGATTAGACAGAATTCCGAACACATTTCCTTTGTGAGTAGCCCCGGGAAAGTTTATTATGTTTCACACCTCGCTACCCTTAATCGATTGGCTGTGATTATTAGTAAGGTATCTGGGATGCGATAGTACGCACGTAAAGCTGCTTTCTGGGTTTTGTAGAAAGTTGAAATTACCAACAATGCACTGCGGTCAACATCCGGTTGCAAATCGCAACTTCCAGCACATTTTGAGAGAAGAAAAAAACAAGAAATAAAAAGTAAGCACGACAGTAACACTTTCTAAAGGTATCGGGGACCGAGTCGCAGCCACAAACAAGTTATTTTGTCAGGTTGTTAGTCACGTCGTCGGTTTTATGGTTCGCTACTTGCAAAGCAAAAGATGCGCTGACTCGAAACCATTTAATGAAAGACCAGATTTTATAACCTTTTGTTTTTCAATTATCGAGAGTACACAGACAATTCAAGCTAAACGTTTTATCAGCAGTGACCATTCATGCCGCTCAAAATTTGCATGAAAAAAATGCGGGAAACGACAAAATCTTAACATATTCAATGATTGTATTCACTGGAACTGCAATTCGCGGTTAATAATATACGCAACTTGTCGCCGACATCTCATTAAGGGCGAGATAACCACGAGACTTGTTTCATTTTGTCAAGTCATCGCGTTCACTGTACCATATAGGTTGGTTTGGTTGTTCGTCACAATGTCGGCTATCTTGACGTCATTACGAGACAGAATATGGCTCCACACATTTGTGACGTTATGGTTTCTAAGTTGTGTCTTTTCTGCAGCCTACGTCCTTAGCTTTAAACACATGACTTGAAGTACATTTATAAAAACAACGTTTCCAACAATGGCATTTTTATATATTTACGTATATTTTTTTATAGGAGACGTATTTTAACAAGATAGAGCTAAAAAAAAAATAAAAGAAAGAAAGAAAGAAAATAAAAGACAACGCAAGCTACAGATCGTTGCAATGTGACGTCACTTGTTTACATTTTTGCCAACCAGGGTGCGAAAATCTGATAACAAATGTCAATCACAGAAACAACAGTCCAGCTTGCGGTCTGCTGCGACAACGCTACCCGTAAAGATGTTGTATTTTATTGAAGCGTGAAGATCGTCACCTACGCACGCGTGGGAATTGAGTCCCAAACGATAACAACGCACGCTAAAAACGCAAAGGCTCGTGGGTAGACGCTTGTTTGTAAACATTGACACGCTATGGCCATCTGACGCATGCGCAAGTGACGACTCCCCCGCTTTAGCAGGGGTACGTACATATTTGCATATGTGCAACGAACAACGTCGTTATTTTATCTTCGGTTGCGTAAGACAGGTCCTAGCACACAGTCACTGCGCATGCCTGTGCGACGGTTTGTAGTCTTTGTCAGAAATAAACCAAATTCGAGGTCAGATGATGTTGTGCAAAACAAAATTGGTTACGTTGACGTCATCAACTTGAAGACTGAGTACCACCAAGAGTTTTGTGACAGCTGATAGTGCCTCAGAATTCCGTACCAAAAACTCGTGTTTTGAAAGTATTTATTTATCAATTAACTTACTTCACTGAGAATGTTCTACTGCCCAATTTTTCTGGACATGTGCAACACTCGCTTTTCGACCGTCTTCAGGTTTTTCAGAGAGCGGTCTACCTTGCAACCATGCTTTCCGCGCTTCTAACAGATTCAGTCACATTGTTAACCCCGTTAAAATAATTTTCTGATAGCGCGTTCAGTTGAATATGCGTTTGAAATGACCACGTGTATGTAACACTCTTGTTAAAAAAATCCTTCGCTTTTTAAATGTTGCATTATTTTGAAGTCTACCATTTTGTGTACATCATCTTTCACAATAATCACTACAGAAACTTCAATATATTGTAAAATACTTTATTTTCGCTTGGATTAATTTTCGCTGAAGGACCGATCCAGTGAAAATAAAATCCAGCGAATATACCTTTTTTCATATATTTTACCTTCAACTCGTCAAAAATGAGTGAAAATAAATTCCAAAGAAAGCACCTAAAAAGTTTGTTCAGCGAAAATTAATTCCAGCTAAAATAAAGCATTCTACAGTATTTGATTTCAAAGTTAATAGTATGTTACAATATTTATTATGCAGCTGCGCTTTCACATTTGTATCGCCTTGTTACCATGGTAACAATTTGTCCACTTCGTGATAATAAATTTTGTAAAATAAATGAATGTCAATTAGTTTTATTTTAAACGTGTGCGAGAGAATATGTAGCTCATTCGCATTTTTTAGAGGAGCAATCACACCCCAAGTGAATAAAAGCAACTACTCCATTTTCGATTATTGCATGTGGAAGACAGTGGCCGTGTAAAATATTGACAAAGGTGGCGAATTTAGCTATTGCGCAACTCTGTAATTCTTGAGGTGGAATGGAACACATCGCAAAATTCTAAGGAGTCAAAGTCATCATTCAGGGCACACTGTGATCAGATCAAAAGTCCGAGTCTGATTCGTGCTTGCCACTGGGGGCGCAATTTTTTGTAAGAATTCACTGTTTATCAACGCAAATCTCCGGCGCACATGCGTGGCGTAACCATCACTATCTGTTAATTTCTTGGAAGTGGACCCGGATTATAGGTTCCATCCTCCTTGCACAGCTCCCCTCATCATTCATATTGTTTTCATGTATAAATAAATCGGTAGAAATGCAAAATAGTCCCTGTCACCCCCCCCCCCCAACAACAACTTGAATTACTGTGTCCAGCACGCGCACAAAAATGCCAGTGAAGGAATTTGATTACATGTATCTAAAATGCATTATTTACACAAACCTCGAACGCGCTTTGTGATACGACTGTGACACTTGAGAACTAATATTAATAAAACATATTTTATAGTCAAGTATTCGGCGATTAATATTAGGAATACCACCCTATCCCCGCTCCTGTTTGTTGCCATTTGACTGGAGTCTCACGGACTAGCAGGAGACAGGTTACATGTACAATATGACAGTTTGCATCGATAGATACTTAGCCTTAAAGCTAAATGTTTTTGACATATTAAGGTGACGTCATTTCGGTGTTTGTAAGATGTACACAACTTTTTTTATGTTATGTTCTATTATATTTTAAAACTATTTTATATTAATAATTAAGCGTCACAGTCGCCAAGTAGCGTGCGCTCAAAATTATGTAACCATTGCGTTTTACATACGTTGTGTATGTCGACAGAGGCCTGCCGTCGAGTGGGACGCAACCTAAATTGTCGCCGCGCTGAATTCATGGTTGCATAAGCTTAATTATTTATCAATTATAGTTAATTCAAAACTATTTATTATAAATTTATTCATGAACAACAGGTTCCCCACGAAATCCAGGGCACTAAACAGAATTCTAAACATTATTTATTCTTGTAAATTAAATGGCACTTCACCTTCATTTCGTCTGGTAGAAAAAAAAGTAATGGAAACAAAAGAAATGGAATATTGTATATGTAGTAAAAATAGCACTATCGAATTGTTTCAGGTGAAGTGGGGTAATTTTACCTAATGTTGGTTTGTGCATCTTTCAATTTTCAATCCACAATTTTTTTTCAATACAATTGGAGTTACATGGTAATCTGTCTTCTTTTTTGTTGGTTTTGTTTTGTTTTCTTTTTTGTTTTGTTTATTACTGTATTTACTGTATTTATTAAAGTCCTGTAATTTTTTTTTGTTATGGGTAATAAAAAAAATATTAAACAAAAAACAACAGAATTCTTGATAAGGCGTGATAGGAAATGACTGCGATCAAATTGGGGGGGGGGGCTCGAACTTGATTAAAAAGAGAATAATTAATACAATTTCATAACATTACATTTTTAGTCCATGTTTTGCATAGTTTCTTTGATGACAGTCTCGCACAATACGAATAATAATTTAAATAAATATGAACCAAAATCAACAACTCAAGTATCATCCGGGTACTTTAATACGCTCTCTACGCGATATTGTTGGAAACACCGATAACTCAAAATTTGAAAGCGGTTGTTTGTGATTTAAAGGCTGAAATACGTACATGAAACAGATTACTATACACACGATTATAAAGCAGCGCCACATGCTCACACTGCCTCTAAACGGCATATTTAATATGCATGTCGTACGTAAAACAGTGTCGAGGCGACAGCTGCGGTTACTCTGCGCCAGTGATGTGGACTGTACGGAAGATCATCAAAGCCTCCATCATCATCTATTCGCTAGTGTTTTTTATCACTGTTGCGAAACAGCTGTGTTTGAAGCAGTTCCAAAATAGACCAACAAGTTCAAATGTCAAAGTTAGGGAGAAAAATGCTTCAAACGAGGATGAGAGTGGATATTTTCCGGAATCGCAGGTGAGACTTGGTGGTAATATAATATAGTGCAAATCTCAGCTCTGACATTCACTGTGGCAACAGCTTACGTTAGGCGTACGCTAACAAATTCCGCTCTTTCTCGTTACTACGACCAAAAACAAAATGGCGTATGAATTTGATACTAGTAACGCTGAACCTAAATAAGCAACATTAGTGCATGGCATTATTAATATACATGATCCTGGCAAACAGATTCAATCCGACGATTTTGTAAGCGATGTACCATGCTACATTTCCTCCGTGCTAGCGAAATATAGGAAACGCTTATAGCGTGTGTCGAGCTTTGTGTATAACTTCTAGCTCGCAGCTTTAAGTAAATGAGCCAAACAATTTGCACAGGTATTAAAACCCCGACACTTGTGTGTGATATATATTTTGAAAGTTTGTATACAGCGCCACTATAATACACCTCGTATTTCCTTTATAAATATTTCCTTTATAAATATTTTACTACTTCGGGTGACGGCTGATGCAATGATTTGCATATGATATTCTTAATTAATAAGCGCATGTCATAGACTGACCTCGACTTGAAAAAACACACAACACTGACACAGGTATTAATATGTGTACTAGTATATAATGTATCCACCATCAACCAAATGCAAAATGCGTAGCATTTACATATTCAAGGAAAGTGCAGGTCTGCCACCATTCGCAGACATGTTGTAAGTTGTCATAGTTACGTATGTTTCACTTCCGCCGAGATATCGTTGAGAGCGAGAGAACCGTGAGATTTTTATAAAGAATGGAACACGACTACAAGACTCGTAGCTCTCGCGCTCAACGAGATCTCGGTGGTCATTTACGTAAATAGGTCAATGAGCAATGGTCTGGCAGTTTTCCTTATAACTACATATCAGTGTCCTAGTAAATGTTTTTTTTTTAAATAGATTATTTCCACCAAAGTCGTAGCAGCAGTCTCAGCAGACCAAGTGAAAAATGCGCCATCTAACAAACTGCCATTGAAGACGCGATACCTGTTACCAGTAATACACTCAGGAGGGCAAAATGTTCAGTTCTTAGCGTTTAAGAGAGCGACAACGTTCGCGTATGTCCACAATAGAACAATCGTAGCCACTCCGTTTTTCTTGCATGGAGGCGATGCACGTGGGTGGACCATGGAACACTGGCGAGACTTCAATATCACCTTTGACACCGACGTGCTCCAGGAAATCGTTCCTGTCGCTACGCTGGAAGATTTCAAGGCGCAGTGCACTGGTAAGATAAAAGCGCTCCACGTAACGCTGCACGGGATTACAAAAACGGCCCACATATTAAACAACATACTGAAACTAGGGCCTATCAGCAGCGAAAACCTCAGAAGAATAAGCTCCAGTTACGACGAAGATCCTCTAGGAGACGAGACGTGTGTAGCGTTCCTCCTTCCACACGACCTCCAGGACCCCGATAGGGAAATGACAGAGTTGATCGACAGTCATTTTGTGAGATCGCCAGTCATTCAAAGAGCAGTAGATGCCGTTTGCAAACACGCTTGCAATGGTGGACGCCTACTTGCAATTCACTGGAGAAACCGCACTGGGGAGCCGTAAGTAAATGTCTTATTTTATTTTATTGGGAAAGAATGACAGAGATACGTCAGACTGTACCAACATTACCCATAATACAGTTGGAGGTTGTATAAGACCAAACGTGCAACTCACTAACACTACCAGCATACATGCACCGCGTCATTTCCGGGAGAGAAGCACTAAAAACGAGAAAATTAGGAACTGCCACACAAACCCAAGACAGCGATTGTAGTCTGAAAACTAACGAAACACACGATTTAGGATGGATGACAATAAGTTTTTGGTAATGCGTAATTCCTGAAATGATTGTCCAAATTTGGTTCTTAAAAGCCTTCTTTATTCATTTTCTTTTTTTTCGAATCTGACCCATGTTTAGTGATTTTCTTCCAAAAACGTTGGGACTCATATCTAGGGAATATTCAAAAAAAAAAATAAAGCATTTGGGCGGCACGTCACGTATACCTTTATCAAGTGAGTGTCCCGCAGAGATACGCCGTAAAAGCGTTCCACGGGTCCGTCAATTATGCCTGCACATACGACAACATACGTCGTCAGATATTAAACTGAAGAACGGACGCTGACCGAAATGTCCAATTTTATTTAATTATTATCAAGGAATATATTAATTACATGCTACAATGTTCTATATATTATGTACATACACGAACGCCCCCAATGCATACACAGTACGTCGGCGCATATGTTAATCAGCCAACCTGTATGGAGTCTGTTTATACTGTGACGACATAGACTTTGTGTCACATTTGAAACTAACTCGTTTAAGATTGATATGAAGTATAAATTGACCCAAACTGCAATATGTAAATGATGAGTCGACAACAAATCATTATTGAGGTAGGCGTAAAGCAGTAGCGTCGGACCTGATGTATAGTTAAGGATCGCAATTATTTCGTGATTCATCAGCGACACCGGAAATAAGTGAAACCTGTTCGTTTTAATAACCTGAAATAACGACGTTTAACGTTTCTGACACACGTCCAGGAACTCCCTAACTATGTTAGAAATGTTATTAGTTACAATTATTAGTTATTAACCAAGTATATAGCTGTCGGGTCAGCCAATCAGAAAAAAAAAAAGTTATTTTTCAGCCTGAGTTTAGGCCCCATTTTCTTTAAATGAAATGAAAAGTTTACACTTCGGCCAGTATTATTGATTGTATTATTTCTGATATGTTATCTCATATGGAACACGTGAAAAAATGGCCCGTCACCCCAAAATGAGAAATGTTATTACTTGATGGCCTTATGCACTTGCATAAATTTGCATAATTAATGACGTTGTTCAACAAATTGACATTGACCTACCGATTCCATTGTTTTTTATTGCAATTGAACACATAATGGTCAATTAATGGCATAAACAGAAAGGTTGTGTAAATTAACATGTTCCGACTTTTCTGACCTCTAATAATTAAGGAAATGCAAAGTAATAAAAGTCAGCAATTGTCTGAAATGTCACACATACATTTTAAACATATTCTCTTATATAACGCGCTTTGGATATAATTATGTAAAATGTTTTGAATGAAATAAATCACACATTCGATGTCACAAATAAATAATTGGTTCAACAATTCTGAAATATTATTTTGAATCATTATTACTGAGAAAAAACAATTACAAGTGTTAATTTTGTGATGAAGTGTTGATTTCCGATAGCCTGTTTTTTTTATACTTTGAAGTGAACTTGAAACAACCTAAATATAATTTTCATAAACTTCGATTATAGAGTTAACATAATTAGAAAATGTGATTTTCAATGATAAACTTTTGTTTTTGCAAGCAGTTACATTGGATTGTAGTAGTTGCATTGTCAGTTCAAATCAAGAGACTATATCCCATACCACCAATGTATTCCTGTAGTAATGTACAATATCACGCTTGAATAGTTTTGTGAATTTCTAGGTATGGCCATGGTAGCTAACGCTTATTTGTTATATATTCTAGATGTGTCCACTTTTTACATTACCCAGAAGTGAAGGCTAAGTGCGCCAAAGATCTTCCATTTGCCGTGAGAGCCGCACATGTTGTTGGACACTCCTTGAAGTTGTACATGGATGCTGAGAACTATAACTGTCTCTTTGTGGCTCATCCAAATTACTCGATGGTAATTAAAAAGTTATTTATATGATTTCAAGTTGTAGGGACTTCAAAATAAGTTTATTTACTTTCCAATTTTGATGAGAGAGTTAAGATTGTCCTGCTAGTACACATGCTGCTAGATTCATTACACTACTGACGTAATGGTGACGACTGGGTCGCTCGATCGTGATCCTATTGGGGTCCGAGTCTGTGGAATGAGATTAACCCGGGGTTGTTTGTCCAAACAAAGGTGAGAATCAACGCCGGGGAATACGTGTGTAGACTGAGTGGCATTTTTCTTCTTCTGATTTGTGTTGCGTGGTGGAGTAGTATTATTCGCAATTAGGCTTGTAGCATAAACAAATCGTACACTCAGGTGTTTTTTGTTTATTAAAATCATTGAAATTAAAATCTCTGTTGCGAAGGCGAAAACAAATACTACTCCACGTCACATATCAGTAACTCGTTCGCTCGCAATGCAAACGATTGCGATTAATATTCCACGTATTGAAACTTGCATCTTCACTTTTCCGTATATGAGAATACCCATGAGAGAAATAATTTCAGGAATGCATATCGCGTGCTAGTGACCATGCATGTATTACGTTTACCGTGGAGTTGTGTGCTTATAAGGTGACACATTCACTGATAATCACCACGTTACAAAATAATAACAATAATGCACTCCTCAAACTAATAAAGCAAACAAATTCACTGATAATGACTACGTTACAAAATAATAACAATTTATAATGCACTCCTCAAACTAATAAAACAAACAAATTCACTGATAATGACTACGTTACAAAATAATAACAATTTATAATGCACTCCTCAAACTAATAAAGCAAACAGATTCACTGATAATGACTACGTTACAAAATATTAACAATAATGCACTCCCCAAACTAATAAAGCAAACAGATTCACTGATAATGACTACGTTACAAAATAATAACAATAATGCACTCCCCAAACTAATAAAGCAAACAAATTCACTGATAATGACTATGTTACAGAATAATAACAATAATGCACTCCCCAAACTAATAAAGCAAACAGATTCACTGATAATGACTACGTTACAAAATAATAACAATAATGCACTCCCCAAACTAATAAAGCAAACAAATTCACTG